TACACACGAAAGGAGGCGGGCCGTGAGCCATGACTCAGGGAACACAATCATGCGCAATTGTGTGTCCTGGACCTTGGCTATAAGAACGGTGCAGCCCAACTTCCACACAGCGAACGCCAAGAGGAGGCGTCCAGGACATGAGCCCATGGCACAAGCTTAAAAACAGCTGGCCAACGATCTGTTAGGAACTCACCACCACACGCCTCAGGGCATCATGGCCTGCCATCAGATAACTCAAGATTAACGAGCTACCAGCAAATACCGGATTCAAGAAAGCGTTCTAGTTGTCTGGTTCAAAGCCGTAAGGACTCACATTATCCAACTCCGAAGGAAATGAAGCTCTCATTGTTTGGCCCCTGACCAATGAGCTTCTAGCCAATTTACTTTGCATTTCCGTTGGTACTACTGGCATAGAAAACCAGACTGAACGGTTGCTATGCACGGAAGCCCTTATTGCATTCCATAAAAAATTACTACAAGACTTGGTTCTAGGATCCAGCCGCATTCTCATACGGATCACCGTATGTGAACAATTTATCTTCGTGACCATTGGGCAAGGTGCCTTCTGTCCTTCCTGCGTTCTAGGTTCACGAAATTTTCTGACAGACTACCCAGTGAGAGCGATCACCCCTAGTACTTATAAGAATGCTGGTTGACCACAGTTAGTCTGCGTGTCTTATCCATAATACTTGTCCAAGTCCATTCCCACTCGAGCCTGTTGCCCACTGTCGTCTTCCAGTGCGATAGGCTTTGACCAAAACATTCATGCTTGGCGAACTAGATGTAAATGCGTGCGGTGTCGTAGATCACTGCTTACTGGATGGAAGCAGTAAGAAGAGATATCTCCGTGTAGTTGCATATAAAATCGCTCAAGTATATTGACCATTTACGTAGGTGAGCATACAAATGCTTCATATCGGCAAAGTCTTCGTCCAGGAATATCAGAATATCGTCTCCGACCGTGTCTCGACTACTTGCGACAGCAAGTTGTTCCATATATTCACCACTCTCCATTCTAAACAGTGTTGGCGGGCGAGCCGCTTCAAACCGATACTACACGTTTGTACAGATGTCTTCGTGTGCTGCTTGTTGCGCACATAATCAGCAGCGGCCCCAACCTAAGGTAATTACCAAGAAATATTATCCGGTGCATCATGATGAGACCAACCCGAAATGGACGACATTTTTACTTTATCGCGTTCCTCTCTTGCGGGGCATAATGAGTAGCAAGTCATAATATCTCCCAGGTTAGACGTTTCCGTCCCGTTAGCTGTTCCGCGTCTGGAAGCTGCCTAGGTATTTATGGATTCAGTGTCGCTCTGTACATAAAAGGGAAGGCGTCCACGAACCACTACGTAGTTCCCTACCCTATCAGTTAAGCAGCTTTCACTTAACAGTGTCAACAAATCGTTTTGTTTGCTCACTAGATTGGGAATTGAACCGTGACAAGACTATAGGTACTGAGCACGGGGCTTGATAATAGGAAAAAGGAGCAGTTCCAGCCAGCTGTCTATGGTTAGCATCTTTAGTATATCATGCCAATTGAAAGACATCTACAGGATGTTGATCGTTGTGCTGTTGATCGCATACTCCATGCAGAAACTCTAAGGCATTAACAACGACAAGAGATTGTGAACATTTCATCTGATCAAAGAAATTGCTATATACGCGCTGGCACGGTTTTCTTCTCAACTGCCGGGAAGAGAGATGATCAATGTATTTTAAACCGTACTACAACACTGTTTTCTTGTACACTTGTTTCAGGTGCGTTACTTACATGTGCGCACCTTTGACGTGTTTCGTCAGCTATTCCAGCTACGATTCGATACATTACCGGCAACCGAAATCAAGAGCAATCATTTTCCTCCGGTCATAGCCGGTTGACCTCCATGGAACTGCAGTATAATCCTCCGGTGTAGCTCCATGGGGACGATAACTCCTTCGGCCAGCAAGAAGCATAATTTATTCATTGATTGCAGAGTCGTTTGGAGTACACGATGTGTGAATGGATGGCGATGTGCAATCACAAATTAAACGGCGATTCACACTGAAGTGAACATTGGTCACTACGGTCACTGGGACCAAATTCGAAGCTGCTGGAATTTGGGGGTTGCCCATCCGAAAACACTGCACACCACGACGCGCTTTAGTATGATTTGATCTCATCGGGTAGAGACAGCAGGCCTCGAACCTGCGACCATTAGAATAGTGACCAAACCTCTACCCCTATGGCTGCGAGGTCACGATGAGCAACGCTTGGCTCAACGGTCAATGACTGATTGGAGGGCCTTTATTAAGTACACATTGTGTGCTTGGATTACGAGGTGCAATCTCAATTACACCGTGGTCCAATTTGAAGTGCACCTTGCTTAATTCGATCACTGAGACCGAAGTCAAAGCTGGTGGAAATTGGGTGTTGCTTGTCTGAAAGCATTGTATACCACGAGGGGTTCGAGATACTTTGATGTCGTCTGGTAGAGGTAGCCAGTCTTGACCCGGTAGCCAAAAAGGTAGAAATCTCGCTTAATATGCCAATAAATAAATAAATAAATAAATAAATGGTTTATTCTCAAATTTATAAAGACACACCAAATCAGGCATGGTCAAGGGTCAAGGGTTCGACGCTTACTATATCCATCTAATGAAAATAAACGACATATAAACGCATCATGGAGTATAGTGTTTACTGAAGGCAAATAAGCAATTTTCCTCAGCATTGACGACTAATAGTTCATACTTTCGTTGGGACAGTTTACAAAACTCACCCGTCAGTTTATATTCCAGCCACCTGGTAGTGTAGCATTTGCTAGCTTGACGAACGATTCGATTTTCGCTTCATCCGTTACGACCATTGCTAAAGTGATCAGAATCTTTTTATGCATTCTAGCAGCAGTTGATTTATTTTTGACACGACAGAAGTCGCTACGATGATAGATCCTTCTTACTGTGGACATTGATTTTGAAAAAACCGAGGTAGGAAATCAACCCATAGTTACTGAAAGGTAGTTTTAACACGGAGTCGGAACCGAGTAATGTGGTGGCACATCGCTACAGGCTGCTCACCGTGTGGATGGGGATAACTGCTTTTGGTACCCTAATCATCAGTAGCCGCTTATGGTCAGTAAGAAGTGTGGAATATCTTACATTAAGCATTTGGTAGAACTTCTTGACCACAAAGACTATCGCCAACGCTTCCTTCTTTATCTGACTGTAAGCTCTTAATGCAGGTGACAACCAGCTGACTGATTGTGTAGTTGCCTTTTCTGAACCGTCCGCGAGATAGGAAACAATTACTGCACCGATGCCATAATTCGACACTTCCACGGTTACGTCGATTTTCTAAATTCATAATTATCCTACAGGTGGTCAGAACACCGCATTATTTCACCTCTTCTAATGATCTCTGGCATGCTATTAGCCAGGTCCAGCGTTTATCATTGTTTACTAGCTCGTTTAGGAGACCTTGCAAACCGTGAATTTGCGGTAGGAACGAGCTGTAGTGGCTCAGCAGTCACAATATCAATGGGCGGTGATATCTGTTTGATTTGCTCGGTGTTCTTTGGGTTCCTTAGGGCTTATAGCGCATCAGGTTTGCTTACTGAAACTGGAGGATCTAGTGAATCGTTATCATTTATTCTCCTTGTTGAAGAGCATGATCGGACAGTCCACCAATCACGTCACTATAAGCAAGTACAATGCTCTGTGCAAGATGTTTATAAAGAAGATCACCCCGAAATCCCAACCTTATTCTGTCAGCTCCATTCATCCCGGTGTGCAGATTGTCAACCCAGGCACAAACACCGTGATATCGACATTGCTGTGCCGCTCAAAAACTATTTCAGAATCGTTGCTCATCAATCAGCATTTTCTCCGACCTCTGTTGTTTTTATGTCATGGCATCGGTGAAAATCGAAGATCTTTGCTACAGCTCTCTGTGTGGCAGAGTTATGTCCTGTGCTTGCCTCGGTGGTACACTGCCACAGAGTAAGATGTCCACATCTTGGCCTGTGTGTTGAGGATTCTCCGATGCTTTGTTCTTAAGCTATTCGCTATGAACCTGACGGACGGCGTGTGTGGTACGACACAATGGTTCTAGTGCGCTTGTGGTTGGACGGAACATTCTTGTCAGACTTCGGCTCCTCATCGATCCACGGTGATAAACGGTGCACATCCGTCGACGTCAAATCTCACAAAAGACCGAGCGCCAGCCCAACGGATGTCGGCTGTGATCTAACAGAACCTGGCACCAGAAAAATTATTGATGATATGGCAAGCTCTGCAGTACTCAATTTGCCCCTTGTGTAGCGAAAACGACACGACAGGGGGGTAGACGTTTATTGCACACCGAAAATAGGCACAACGGGGTCTCACGCGCGCCATCGAATATCGACTAGATTTCCGTCCCACAACGCAACACAGGTACGGATGTTAGAGACGAGCCAGTCCTTTCGCCTCGAGAGCTCTGACTTGGAAGACCCGCCTTCATGTTTTCGCCTCGATCTCCACTTCTCTGTATCCGATTTGGATCGGCCAGGAGTCGTTCGAGAGCTCTCGACTTGCTTGTTCTGGGCTGTGTCAATCGGCTTGGCCTCGGTCCTGTGGGCTGCGCTAGCGGCGTATATGTCTGATTTATTGCGCTGTCCACATATTCCCGCTCCGTAGTTCCGGGCCCAGGCTCATCGCTAGCCGTCCTTCTCGATCCGCTTTCAGCTAGCTCCAACGAGCTCCCCCGAGGCATTCTTGGCAGCGGCCCCTCTACACTTGGTGTCGGCGATATCTGATTTTATGGACACGGCTGTCACAAATTGCTGCAAACATGTTACTTACAGGCAACCGTTCGACGGAAGGTAAGAATCCCCACGCATCATACTTTAATCCAACTTCTTCTGTTGGCCCCCATCTATGGCGTACGCCGAGCGATTTTCAATGATCGTACCTGCATCATATTTTCTTTGGACGACTTACTGTGTTCAAGTGAAGAAGAGTTAGGCTTCATCTCGATGCGAAACGTTCCACAACACTACGGCGACATGATCAGCTCCGTACGTACCGAGAATCACGGTTTCCTCAGGGACCAGGGCAATGTGACCACACTGTCAGGACAACCGATTAGAGTCTCTTTAGACGCCACAGAATCACAGGTGGATTCGTCGGAGAACAGTGTAATTAACAAGTTGCAAGATCCAGCAAACGGCGTGTTGCTTATCTACTCGATGACCCCGCAAAAGGCTTCCGCTCAAACTGTTAGCATGGAAGCTGGTTTCGATGGCTCCTATAAACTGGCTCCCGGACACTAAGAAAGCTAATAATAGGTTTTGCGGAATCAAAGTTCAAGGAGGGTAAAAATTAGATATTTTTGTTAATAATAAATGCAACAAAACGCCAAATTTTTAGCCGCCACACGACAGCATAATACCCCTGCGTGAACGGCCGAACCGTGCTCCCAGATTTCCAGGCAATAGACAGGCTTGCAACGATTAAGGTTTCTTTACAGGTATGAGTTAACTCGTGACTTATAAATCACCATAACTCAAATAACTAGCGTTTATTTTATTGACTGGGTGTTCGGTTTGAAGTAGTCATTGTGTGAATAGTTCGCGACGCGCAACCTCGGTCTGTACTGTGATTTACACTGAAGTGAACCCTGGTCATCGCGATCACCGGGACCGAAGCAGCTTGAACTTGGATGTTGCCCGTAGTGCTAGCTGGCGAGCAACACCCTATTATTTTAGTGAGTACAAATTAACTAGCTCCTAAAAATAATGTTTTACTAGCTTCCACTTCCTCAATGGATTTGGGTACGCATTGAAACATTTAGTTGTAGTACTTACATGCGCCGTTGAGAAAATACGAAGCATTTGTCAAAGCCAGAAGTAAAGAAACTGAGCAGTTGTTTTCTGTTGTGATGTCTACCATGGTTACTGATCGAAATCGTTTTGGATATTCAGTCGGATCAATTGGTGCATTAGAGCCTCAAACACGAACAGCGAATAAAACAGACCTCCGAGAGAAAGTGTAATCCAGTCAACTAAACAAATACTGACAGCCCAATTCACACTTTGATAGAGGGTGGTCGGATCAACAATAACCGAAATGTAGCGGTTCCAGAAAACGATAGATAGACTAAAGGGCTGACAGTGGGGAGACCAAAAGAATGCGATAGAGTAAGAGAAAACGACACCAAAGAAAAGGTGAGTGCAAACTTTAGTTTCTAATAAATAGCTAGCAAATGGATTAATCTAGCAAGCTGACTTAGCAACAATCATACACTTACGCCACGCTGCCGCGGTGGCAGTCACATTCCACCCACATACTTGCCTAGTACGAAAATTTCACATCAATGCGTGAATATACAGGCTTAGTTCTGTGCCTTGATTACTTTCGCGCACTAGTGAACATCTTAAGTTAGCTACTGTGAACTAGCACAATACATTGTACACCAAAATGACAAACGTACGGGACACAGTCTTGGTGGTGGGCGGGAATGAAGTTAATGTTTATATTAGCTGACAACAATCGGAATGAGTTTGACAGCCTGCGAATGTGTATAATGGCGTAGGCTTGACGCAATAAATCAATGCGATGGTAACAGTACATTAAGCAACCCTTTACTCGCAGCACGGGTTAGGATGCGCCATATTTGATCTCATTTGAATCAAAACCCGGTACTGAAGTGGCACCTAAATCGATGTCATCAGGTAATATATTTCTGAGTGAAACACGATATATATATATATATATATATATATATATATATATATATATATATATATGGTTGGCGGCATCCGGTTTCGGATTTGCCTGTCACTGTGCACAGCCACAGGACGCCTGCGCCTAGAGAGGGACCACGGGTGGCTTGCGCTGCATCACCCACAGCTCCAAACACACACCCCATATCCAGTGTAAACCCGAAGGAATAAGACCGGGAGGCCTGTGGATGGCAGTCACGTTTCAGCAACGGAGCCGGCCCACACTCCTTCACAGGCACACACAAGCTCGCTGTATTTGGGAAATCAAGCGCACACAAGGCGGTGGCTGGGCCGTAGTCCGCTCCACACTGAGTGCATGGAACCGCTCTTCGAGCCTAGCACGGCCACGAGGACCGTGCACCCCGTCCCCTCCAGCAACGACCAACTGTCTCCTGGAACCAGACGGACGAGGTAGTGGGTAATAGACAGGTAAGCACCTTGTCAACATGTACATCAAGCGCAGCCACACCTGGGATATCAAACAACAGCCAATCATTCGAAATGCCGATATCGAATAAAGTAAACGCATATGAAGACATAAATACTAGCTAAATGAGCATATGGAAGAAGTTGGCCATAAGTGAATCCGCATTAAGTACAAAATGTCCGAAAGTTGCTTAAAAAATACCAAGGGACAAAATTACGCAAGTTTATCACAATTTGCATGAGCGACGTGTGGACGTTGAGAGAAGATTATCAAGTACGCAGAACAAACCAAATAAAATGTAATGAACTTTATCCACATTAAAAAGACCTAGTTTAAGTGTAACTTCGTTTGGCCCAACTGCGATGAAGAAGCATCAAGAATGCAACAATGTAAATATATATATATATATATATATATATATATATATATATATATATATATATATATATATATATATATATATATATATGGCTTCAGACTTCATGCTTTATGACCACGTCACCACGCCCAACAGATTAAGGGGAACTGACAGGCCATCCATATTAGACCGAATATTCACTAATGAAGAACTGATGGTCGCGAGAGTGATAACCGATACTCCTCTGGGCCGTAGCGATCATGCGACGTTAGTGTTTCATTCAATGTGCTTCGCTCATCATCCTAAATAACATGCCGAGGAATATCATGTCGTAACCAACTATGACGACCTATCCGACCTCATTGATGCAACAAGCTGGTCGTTCTTAGCCGAATTGACCCCTGAAGCGGCCTGCGGATAATTCGTCAATATATTTAACAAGCTCGTGGCAAGCACATCTGAAACCAAACTCTACCGGCTTAAAAGGATGAAGTCTTTCGTAAGGAGCAGGGCACGTAAGTGCATGGCATTAAGGGACTTGGCGTGACGCACCTACATAACCTCCCCGAACGACGATACCTGGGATTTCTACACAATACAAAGGAATCACTGTGTCAAACTCGTCCGGGAGGATAAACTGAAGAACTAACAAACTCTAGTGGAAAAGGTTTGCTCCAATCCCAAACGGCTATACAGACACATAAACTATTTGCGCCGTGTTAAGCGCGGTATTCCTGCTCTGCATACAGCATGCGGATTAGCCCAAACCGCACAAGAGGCGGCCAACGTCCTTGGACAACAATTTGGCTGTACCTTCCAGAACGTGCAATCAACATATATTCTGCCTAAGCAGATAACGCCGTCATCAGGGCTAAATCACATATCGTTCACCTCCGCAGCTGTACGGAAGAGGCTGATGTCTCTGCGCGAGTTCAGCTTCCCGGGTGCAGGCGGCATTCGCCCAAAGGCGTTGAAATTTGCTGCCATGACTTTAGCAGGATCACTAGCAATTTTCTTTCATCGATGTCTGAAGAAGATGCACATCCCCACGACGTGGAAGCACAGAATCATCAAACCAATCTACAAAAGTGGTAGTCGTGCTGAACCAGCAACTTATCGCCCGATAACACTACTTCTGTGATCTCCAAGGTTATGGAGTCCATTGTAGCTGAGGCTTTGATGGGGTACCTGGAGAAGAACAAAAATCTCATTCCGGAGCAGCAGTGATTTCGCCAAAATCGGTCGTGTACCACTAATCTGTTGATTTCTCGTGCAAGCTGGACGGAATCTGCGGACGCTGGTGTAGGTGTCGACGCGGCCTACCTGGATTTCTCAGAGGCATTTGACCATTAAACCATCGCATTCTACTCCACAAACTCCAGAACTATGGAATTTGCGATCCTATTCTGGGCTGGATAGGAGACTTTCTCGTGCAACGTCACCTGAATGTGAGGGTTCGAAGCAACCTATCGGAATCCATCGAAGTTCAGTGCGGCATACCTCAGGGCTCGGTACTTTGACCCCGCCTGTTCTTGGTCTTCATAAATGATCACGCGAACGTGCTATCTTCTAACTGTTCGCTATTTGCTGATGATCTAAAGGTGTGGTGTATTATAGCTGCAGCGGATGATCACAAAGTGTTATAGGAGGACTTGGACAAAGTGTACACATGGTCCATCGAGAACCTTTTGCATTTAATTATCACCACGTGCCAAGTTCTCAGCATACGGCACAAGAGTATGCACAAGTACCACCTAGGACCACATATTCTACAGCGGGCTACTTACGAGTGTGATCTCGGCGTGATAGTTCAAGATGACCTCGGTTGTTTGAGGTAGACTGAAAAGGCATCTAAGAAAGCAAACCGGTACCTCGACCTTCTTAGCAGAGCCTTCGGGAAGTTTGACCCTTCAGTCTTTCCAAAAATGCTTAGTGCGTACGTGAGGCCGCACGCGGAATACCCTATTCAAGCCTGGCAACCGTGGCTCAAGCACCATCTCACCGCGCTCGATACTGCACGACGTAGGGCAACGAAGAGCGTCCGAGGTTTGATCAGCCTCCCCTACCCACTCAGGCTGAAGACTCTCAAAACATACAGTGGACGTTATCGGCGTCTAAGGGACGATCTCATTATAGTGTACCAGATCCTGAGACTTCCCAACGACCCATGCCATTCAATTATGAAACACAGTCAAACACCCCCTAAGACGTCATCAGTTTAAGGTGGTCACGCAGTACTGCGGATTGGAATGTCGGCGAAACTTTTCTCCCTTTGAGTGTCACGGCCTTGGAACGCCCTCCCGGCACATGTTATTAATGCTCTCACCCTATCCGTTTTCAATAAACACCTTGACGATCCTCTGTCACATGTACACTACGTGCTATGGCCCATGACCACCGGATGCTGGCACTAATGCACAACAGACAGTGGACGGTGCCATAACCCTACTCTTGAATAAGTCGCTCCAAACCCCTTGTACACAAGTTGATAAACGCTACTAATTTAGAAACTGGATTTTCCGTATCCCGTCGACCCGAAAAAGCTGCACACGGGTAAGTGTTGTCCTTGCTATTCTTTATATTTTTTCTCGCTTATTATGTGATCAGTAGCCGCACCCATTATTGCCTTTTGTGCGCACATTCTAATTTCAAACTCCCTTTATAGGGCAGTCCGTCGCAATGAGACTGGACCTTAACGGGGTGCGACGGTTTGTGTACCTCCTTGACCAATTGAACTGTATTGGGTGGTGCCTTCGGGCAGCT